CATAAGGAAACATAAAAATCTGCATATTCAGCTTATGGTACTTCCTATGTTCAGTATGGCAAATGCAATTTTTTAAATGAACATCCACAGTTTAAAAAAAAAAAAACTGATGCCAATACACATAAAAATCTTGACTTAATAGTGTCAATCCAATCTCTTGGTACAACAGGTTTCTGGTAATAAGATGCATAATCAGGGTACAGTATTTTAGTTTCAATTCCTCACTTCCTGGTAATGCTTACTCAATCTACAATTTTGTTTGTGCAGAGCAATTTCCTGGTATTTTGTTACAGCTACATGGTAATATGGTATCCTAAAACAATAATGGGGCTTTCCTTAAAGGATAATACATCTTTCTCCCCCCAATGTGTTACCCTCGAGTCTGCAAATACATATGAGAACGAGCCTGCAGTATAGTGCATACACAGAGTGACAGAGGACCAAATATCAAATGCCATCATAATGCAGCTTGCAGGGTATGTGTTAACTGAGTATTACAAATGTTTGAGTAATTAATTAGGTCAACATCACATATATATTGATACTTTAACTAGATAACTAGATGATAAGGACTTTCACAGTCTGCAGAGGACCATTGCATTGCCAGTCCCAACTCCCAACAATTGAGTAAACCCAGTAGACTTTGGCACGTAATCCTCCTAATAAATTGTACGGCTGTAAGGTTTTTGGGCCTAGTTTCCCTTATAAACCGGGTCAATTCTTTTCTTCTTAAGTGAATTGCAGGACCCCTGTGCCCTATTCGAAGAGGTTTCTTTGGAAAAAAAAAACTTTGGCACTTAAGTCAAGGAAGCCACATTTCCTCATGAGTTTAAACTGGGAGTACATGCATGTTAGAAACTTGGAAAAAATCTAATCCATTCTTCAGAAATTAGGCACATATGCATGCGAAAAATGAAAATCGTTGCTACAGACAAGGCAGAAGGCTTAACATAATTGAAGTGTTAAAGGCCTGAATGTTGCAGGTATCGATCGAACATTGTGTATGAGAAATGCCTAAACCATTTTAATGGTAACAATCGCTAATCCCATGCGTGAGCTGAAGGGCAGGCTACGACTAATTGTTGACAAGCTACATGTCGTTGTGTAGTTCTCGAATTCTGTGCCTAAACATGACCGAAATGCATGGTACCGCCGATGATCAATTACCTGCGCCTGCTTGGCCCGCACGTAGGGCGAATCCAGGGAAGGTGGCGGCCTGGGCGGCCGCGACGAGCATCCCCCGGTCGACGGCGGCGTGACGCGCGTGCCGAAGCAACCCGCGCTCACGGGCGGCGTCCCGTAGCCCGGGCCCGGGCGCGGTCCACCCGCGGCCGCGGGCGTACCAGCAGGGCCCCACCTCGCCGCCCCCGCCCCCGCGCTCCGCGGCGACGTCCACGGCGGCAGCCGCCTCCCGCCGCTCGGCATGGGTCGCGGGGCCCGACTTCCGTCGAACACCTGGCGTGCTCGCGAGGCCGGGGCTGCACCAGTACGGTCAGGAGGCGGCGATTAGCATGCCTCGTGATGATTATTTCCCGCAGGATGAGCGCGGTGTCCTGGAGGGGGTCGGATCAGAGGATGGAGTGGTCACCTCGGCGAACTTGAAGCCGCGAAGGCGCCGCAAAACCCTAGCGGCCTCGCCTTCTTGGCCTGCGCCCTGCGCCGACGCCGCGAGGTGGCCAACGGAAGCGCGCGCGTGGAAGGAGGGAGGGAGGCAAAGGCAACCAGCCGACGCAGCAACCGCCTCGAGTTTATATGCCACGCGTTAAGAGGAGGAGGCTTTTGAATTTGGAACGGGAAGGAAGCCGACGTGGATGGAGCTGTGGGGCCCGCGTGCACACGTGGACGTTGCGTCACGGGGAACCCGTCCGGCACGCGTGAATGCGAATGATGACTTGGCGTAGTAAGAGCAGGTCATGTGTTTCCTGTGAGAGAATTGCTAGTAACCATGAGTTGATTTCATTCACCATTCTGGAACAGTGAAAAGGTCAAAAGAGAATATTTAACCCGTCGTCATTTTCTTCGTGACTGTGTCTAAGCATGTTTTCCATTATTAAGAATAGAAAGTTACAACGTATGGTCTTAGTAAGCCTGGACTTATCAAGAACCGCACAATCATTACGTGATTAGTCTCTCAAAGATCAACCATATCTCACAATTAAATGATTATACATACAAATAATTCGCGACTAGAACTAACATATATAGAATCCTTATTCATTAGGACACCAATAAGAGTGACTAGCGATATACACTGGGGTCTAGACCGGCTTCAGTGCCCCTGATGGCCTCCTCTAGGAAAGAGTTCCCTCAAGGCCACCCTTTTCGAAGATGATATTGATGATGCAAAAGCCTCCATGGAATTTGGCGTACAAGGAATCATCCGCCTCCTAAGACTTCTTACCGAGACCCCACTTCTTGAGAAGCACCTTCCTTACCCACAGATCTGATTTGCCTAGGCGCCGACCCGACTTCGCGGCAAGCCTACTGCTATGTTTGGGAATAAGCTCTAAGGCACTGGATAACCCGTCGCAACTAATAGTAGGAAGTGAGGAATAATTTGCCACTTTGTTAGACAGGTGAGTGGGAGGAGAGGCACGGTAGTAATGGCGAGAAGTTAAATTTATGAACGTGGCAATCCCAACCAATAATCCCCCTTTGCACTAATTTCATGCCACATTCATAAATTTCTAAGTTCCAAATTTATCTTCTGTCGCACACAGAATACGATAGAACATATCTTCGATCAGAACATTTTCTCCTAAGCAAGTGGGAGAATCACTATCCCACAACCTGCATTCAGTTCCAATCGGCGGTGATAATTATCTATCATTGTTGGTTGGTCAACCGATAGTGATGTCCTATCACTATTGATTTTCATAAATTGTCCAGTAGTATGGGTCAACAGGGATTATGGTTTATGCTTATATTTATATTTAAAACTCAGGCTGCGAGGGTAGACATCCCCGAGCTATTTAATTAACTTAAGGTAGAGGACTTTTCATCCGGTCCGAGAAAACCCCGAACCCTACGACGGCATACAGGGGCCCGTAACCCGGTGAGAGGGCCGGTCCATTTTACCTATACTTTGGGAATGCGGGACAGATGAGGGTTTTTTTTCACACCGCCGACCAGAAATTCGCCTGACCAAGGATTAAACTCTGGTCACGGGGGTTATATTAAGAAGGAAAAAGTCTACATAACCCCCCAACTATTTAGGGTGGACTACTTCACCCCTAAACTATAAAACCGGATTTTTAAATGAACATCCACAATTCAAAAAAAAACAGCTGATGCCAGTACACATAAAAATCTTCACTTAATAGTGTCAATCCAATCTCTTGGTACAACAGGTCTCTGGTAATAAGATGCACAATCAGAAGGTACAGTATTTTGGTTTCAGTTCCTCGCTTCCTGGGAATGCTTACTCAATCTACAATTTTGTTAGTGCAGAGCAATTTCCTGGTATTTTGTTACAGCTACATGGTAATATGATATCCTAAAACAATAATGGGGCTTTCCTTAAAGGATAATACACCCTTCTCCCCCAATGTGTTACCCTCGAGTCTGCAAACACATATGAGAACGAGCCTGCAGTATAGTGCATACACAGAGGACCAAATACCAAATGCCATCATAATGCAGCTTGCAGGGTATGTGCTAACTGAGGATTAGATATGTTTGAGTAATTAATTAGGTCAGCATCACATATATGTTGATACTTCAACTAGATAACTAGATGTTAAGGACTTTCACACTGTTTGCAGAGGACCATTGCATTGCCAGTCTCAACAATTGAGTAAACCTAGTAGACTTTGTTACGTAATCCTCCTATAAATAACCGTGCGGTTGTAAGGTTTTTGAGCCTAGTTTTCCTTGTATTCCTAGGTGAATCGTTGGGGCTCCATGCCCTGTTCGAAAAGATCTCTTCGGAAAAAAAAACTTTGGCACGTAAGTCAAGGAAGCCACATTTCCTCCTGGGTTTAAACTGGGAATACATGCATTTTTAGAAACTTGGAGCAAATCTAATTCATTCTTCTGAAGTTAGGCACACATGCATGCGAAAAATGAAAATCTTTGCTACAGACAAGGCAGAAGGCTTGACATAACTGAAGTGTTAAAGGCCTGAATGTGGCAGGTATCGATCGAACATTATGTATGAGAAATGCCTAAACCATTTTAATGGCAACAGTCGCCAGTCCCATGCGTGACTTCCCGCAGGATGAGCGCGGTGTCCTGGAGGGGATCGGATCAGAGGATGGAGTGGTCACCTCGGCGAACTTGAAGCCGCGCGGGCGCCGCAAAACCCTAGCGGCCTCGCCTTCTTGGCCTGCGCCTTGCGCCGACGCCGCGAGGTGGCCAACGGAAGCGCGCGCGTGGAAGGAGGGAGGCAAAGGCAACCCAGCCGACGCAGCAACCGCCTCGAGTGTTATATGCCACGCGTCATACGTTTGGTAAAGTTATCATGTTCATCTTCATACGTGTAGTAAAGTCCATCATATGTTTCTTGGTTAAATGACATTAGCTCTAGACTCAGTCTCCTCTTGTTGAATCAGAGGACAGCCATCTGCTTGACAATGTCATGTGATTTTATTTGATTGTTGATGGACAAAGAAGTCCATGGCTATTGAAACTTGTAGTTTGCTTAACAAAGTTTGATGTCTGCATGGGAGCATATCTTCTTACAACAGCCTTGCTATTATTGGTTCCCATCTGCCGACTATGATCATGTCAATTTTTGTGTAAATGTCGAAGTTTTGTATTTACCAGAGCCATATAACTCATGAAGTTTTCATGACCTAGGTCTGCATAGTAGTAACCCTTAAGCTAGCACGGTTTCAGCTGGACCTTGTAAACAATAGCCCTATAATATAACGAAATACAACTTCGAATAAGAATTATTCATACAAACATAAGCCAACCAAAATGCCATTTGGCTACATATTTACAATTGTTAAGAGCAAATCGAAGGAAATATTGTTATCCCCTATAGAAAATCAAAATTATTGCCCAAATTCCATTCCAAAAACTGTGCTTAGTGGGGATTCTCTGATCCTTTTCAGCCCTGAAACCTAATGAAATCAAAGCATAAACATTTTTTTTTTCTAGTCAAATAAGGGAAGCACCTTAAAGATAGAGAGCACATGTAGAAATCCTTCTCACCTCCACGCTTAAGTTCAGAGCAGCTCGAACGGAGATGTTTGAGGGTCTCCTAAGGATATATAGCTGCGACAATTCATGAAAAAATGTTAAAGCAAAATCCATCACATGTGCTGATGTGCAATTACATCTAATGGTATGGAATCACCTGTTGCTCAAACTCAGCCTCTGATCTTGAACTCTTGGTAACGAAAACCTGCCCAATGACTGGCTCAGTCTCAAGTGCAGATTCACCCAAGTCTGAGTTGTCAGTCGGAACCGAGTACTACATGTACCAGTGATTCAGCGACCTGCAAGGACAAGATTATTAATTAGAGAAATGAGCTTAACATGCAAATCCTGCATTGCTCATAGGCTACCAAATTTATTAGCAGTGTTACACCAACCTTCTTAAACTCAGCTTTGCCCTTCTCACGACAACATAAAAATCATTCCAACAGCATACTCGGCTGGTGGCGGTAGCTCAAACCCAGCATCCTTTGCGACCTCCAGGAACACCAAAGCAAAAGCATTTATCAGGTGAAGAATCATAGGAAAGAGCAGAGCAATTTGCATACCTCCACACCATGAAGTTGGGCCTTGCTAGAAACAAAGCCTGGCATATGAAACTATTGCATTACAAATGAATCACCACATGTGGGATTTGAATCATAAAACACAAAATAAGAATTGTCATATGTCTCTTCAATCATTATTATTGACTGTTGTAAAGCTTCAGTTATGTAAGGAGAGAATAGCTCATGGAGATTAGATGGACGAACTCCTAATCTGAAGCATGATGGTGGCAGTGTTGTAACTGGAACATACAACCAAGTTAATCAAAGAAAAACTAATAGATTACTTACTACCTTAAAAGTTTTAGCGATGCCAGTATCTGTTGCTGGTAAAATCGGTGACACATATCATGTAATAATTCAGGGCTTTTATGTGCAAATTATGAGGGTAGCAACCTTTGACTCCACTCCCAGTCCCATTGAACTAACTGGTGCATGAACACATTTCAGAACACCCAATCCATTATATCTGCAACAGCAGACAGCGGGAAGGAACTCACGTTTTTGTCGCACCCAGGTATGGAGATGTTGGCGTCGTAGTGTTGCGCGCCCATGACGGTCTCGATGCTGTCGGCGACGAGGTCGTGGGACTGGAGGCTGTAGCACATGCCCCGGGTGCCCATGGAGATGGCGTCGCTGACACCGTCGGTGTTGAATCGGAAGCCGACCATGCTGGCCTCGCGCACGCCGTCGTAGACGGTCTCGGCGAGGTGGAGCAGGTGCATGTTACAGGTGTTCCCCTCATACCACACCAAGGAGACGCCGCCCTGCAGCTTGCGGGAGGTCCATGTCGGTGAGGCCGACCTCGTAGAGCACGGCCTGCGAGGCGCCCTGCGACTTGGGCTCCGTGATGCGCGCGCTGTACTTGTTGAGCTTGGGCTTGTCGGAGACCGCGGTGGCGCGGACGCGCTGGATGTGAAATAAACCAAGTGATGCAGATTTTACCTAGCAGCAAGGCAGCCGAATCAAACCAATTTGTATATCCTACAGTAAAGCTTGCTCTGCTGCTAGAGGCCTCCTATATTTCTGATATTTACCAAGTGATGCGGATCTTACCTAGCGGCAAGGCAGTCGAATCAATCCAATTTACATATCCTAAAGTAACATTTGCTCTGCTGCTGGAGGCCTCCTATATTTCTGATATTTTCCCCCATCCCTCTTCACATAAGCTCCCCTCTGGTCACAACTTATACAGCTTACATTAAAAAAATCTACCATGAACCATGAAGTATCAAATAATGCAAAAAAAGAGAACTGAACAATGAAAATTTCACCTCTCAGTTCCAGCTAATCAAGAGCCGGGCATGCTGGCCACTGATGCTGTCAGAATTGTCGAGTAGGTGAAATCATTCAGAGCAACACCATCTTCTCTCATTCTGCTAAAAATAGGAGCAGCAAGAGGTGTGTCACCGTTCTGAATGCACCCATTAATCATAGCAGTCCATGAAACAACATTCTGAGATCCTGGCATCAACAAGCCAACGAATAACTGAACTAAAGCATTTTTCGAAAAATAAAATGACAAGCAAAACTGAAACCTACTTACAGAGTTTCAAGCAATGAACAACCACCAATCTCATCAAGGACCTGTCTTGAGTCCATTTGGACTTCAAATTGCTGAACACAACCCAACATACGGTGAAAAAAAGTTAAGCACAATTCAGCATCTGAAGTTCATATGAGGAAACAATGCATTGCAGACTGCCGAATTGCCAATTACTGCGACAAGATGAATCGTCCTGTCATCAAGCCGCGTCTCACTCTCGCTCGAGAGGTAGGCAGAGATTACCAAAGCATTGTAGCCTTTACCTTCTCCATTCTCACGCTCTTGAACGCCCTCCGACACTGCGCGAGCAAGCCGAGAGGAGAGGGTGCCGCCACCGCCGGTTTGCTGACCCCCCCCCAACGATTCGACTATTACGCGCACGTCTTCGGGTCGGTGGAGCGTGCAGCGTGGGAGTGGGAGAGCGCCGTGCGGGTAGGAGCGCAGGAGGCGCCGTACGGGAGGGAGTGGAGGCGGCGCGGATTGGATCTCCAACAGACGGCAACGAGGGATGAGATGGAGAACATCTGCAGCGTTGGCTCTTGGCAGGGGCCGAGAGTCCTGGTACGGACGTCGTCAGCGGCCGTGGTGGTGTAGCCGACCCGGTCCAAATAACACACGTTCGTCACCAGATGCTAAGCAGCCTAAAAGTATGCTACATCGGATAGATTTCGTCGAGCACGCCCAAAGAAGAACTCAAATAATCCATATTTTTTCTCAAGAATCCAATAATAAAAACGAGTTTATAATACTTACTCTATTTCTTACGATCAGAGTTCTTAGAAATACATTATTACGGTACCAAGTTCAGAGTGCGAAATTTAAACAGCGAAATTACAATAACCATCTACCGGTAGAATACAAGGATCCGTATGTGTCCACCAGAAAAATCCTCCACACAACAGCTACCCTTCAAGCTGCATCTGCAATAGGGTAAATAAACCCTGAGTACACAATGTACTCGTAAGACTTATCCGACTAGTGAAAATAATTTTCCGACTCTAAATGATATGATAAGATTTACGATTTGCTGTGTTTTCTTTTTGCGAAAAGCAATATTAGTAGTGAAGCCTCATGTATATTTCTTATTACCAATCATGATTAGTACATTATCTAACCATTTCAAGTAAGAGTTGAGCAAACAGATCCATTTCACTATCTTTCATCTTCCAGTTTTTACTACAGTGTTAGATTGTAGACAAGTCGTATCGGATTACCCGGTGATTTGTGAATCAATGTGCCCAGCTGGGTACCCCGAAACACACGCTCCGCTTATACCCCAGGCACAAGCAAGACCAATCCATCACTCTCCTGTCAGGGGGTCCAGATCCCTGTCCAAACTTGGACACCAAGCCCCCACACCTGAGTCCCGGACTCAGTGTGGTGCTTAAACCTCCACCGTCCCCGTCTCCAATCAGTTGATCCGAAAAGAGCCGAAATCCACAGCAAGAGAGCAACGAGCCTTCCCTGCTCCCATAAACAAGTATGTGTTCAGGATAATAAGTCTATGATCTGATTAGAATCTAATGCAATGGCCGATCCTTAACCAACACGGACAGGGAAAATAGTGTAACCAAGCTATGTACCGTTGGCCGCGGGACACAACCCTTGACACCCACCAATACCTGTGCCATATCCCTGTCCGGTCTCAATTTTCCTTTCACCATTTTATCATAAGAGTGATAATAATAATCACCTATTGTGAGTAACGGCAGGTTACTCACGCTACCAAAATCCTAAGCATAGCAGCTACTTGACCTATGCTAGTATGACTCATAGGTAGGTTATCTATGCATATAGTTTCTATAAAATGCCTGTAACGTAAATGCACATCACACATATATATACACACACAGTGATCATTCAAAATAAGGGTTATGCACCGGGACTTGCCTTGGGCAGGCGGGGTGTCAGCAAAGTCAGCAGCTGGTGGCTCCGGGGCTCCCCCCTAGACCAGGATCTCCTCCTTGTACTCCTCGATTATCTTCTCATACTCTGGCTCGCCCGCGGTCACGAACTCCACCAATTCGTTCTCTACATGCATGCAATGATGATGCAACGCTCAATATCAAGGTAACATCAGTTCTTAAAATGAGAATACATCTACTACGCCACTAAGCTAGCTCTAATGACTAAGATACCAAGCTAATCATCATTCCCATCAAAACCAGCAGGGTTTCACCTACAAGTCCTACTTAGCAACTAAAATATATTCTTACTATTATTAACGATTTCCTATATACTACAACAAGGAGTACTTAGCTATCATATTTCTTAACCGATTATAAGGCTACAAAAATTACAGTAAGCACATAATAATACAACGAATCTTATGTAAAAATTTCATGGTCAAAGCTATTATCAATTCGCTAAAAAAATTCCTACAAATACTAAATAAATACTACTAAACACTCGCAAATGATTTAATAGCCGCTGGTATCAACAAATATATATAAACTAAATACACTAACAGATAGAGCATAATTTCAGAAACCCAACAAAATTGGTTTCACAATTTTTGGACACCTACATGATTTTATATGATTTAGCTATTTATATTTTTCACGAAAAATAAACTCAATTCGGCCCCCCGTGGCCCACACGCACGTGCGAACGCGCGGCGGCCCACACGCGAGGCGCGGCCCACGCGCGGAGGCAGCCCGCAACGGGGAGCCCGCGCGCGCTGGTACATATGCAAAAACACCCTTGAGCTACCGGTAATTCAACTTGAGGTCCGCAACACTTTCCTACAGACTGCTCCTATGTAAACAAGCCCTTCCCCTTACTCTCCTTTACAACGGTCCGGTCCTTCGGCCACCCGCGCGTGCGCCAGCGCGGCGACGATGGCATTGGGCGGCCACGCCAGCCAGCTGGGACCCACGCTGACTCCACTAACGGGTCGACCCCCGTCTACAACAGCGCCTACACTAGCCTAGGTTACAGGAGCGACGGAGCTCGTGGAAGTGGTGACCACGGCATGTAGCCTTGCGCGACAGCGGCGTGACCATGCCGGTCACCCCAAGCCACCGCGGGGTGAACTAGCTAGCGCTATAGCATCACTATCATACCCTTGTTGTGACTACGATGGTGGTTTGGCCGGATGTTCCCCGAACAGAGCTGTCCACGTGCGGGTGGTGGGAAGCGGTGGCGCTCCGAGACGGCGCGGCCACGTCAGTGGCTACGGTGAGACAGTAGAGGTGCAAGTGAGGTGCACAGGGTGAAGTGGAGGTGGAGGCTAAACTAGAGGCGTAGCTAGATTGACCCGAAAAGGTGAGCTGAAGGTTGTCCCTGGCCGCGGCCTTACTTGGCCTAAAGTGGCGTGGCGGAGAGGAAACTCCCAAATTGGGGCTCGTCGCGATGCAATTCATGGCGGTGAGGTGGCGGTTGAGACATTGGCGACCGGGCGCACCCACGAGCGCGAGGAATTGGTGTCTGGTGCCCGCACTAGGGCCTCGGTGACTGCGATGTGACTCCGGCAGCAGGGGTGTAGCAGGGAAACATACGACGGCGGCAGTGGCGCGGTTGTGCGCCCTGGCGGGATGCGTACGTCATGGCCGAGTGCTACGCAAACGACGAGCGCACCCTCCATAACCGGCCACATGCGCGCGCGAGACGGCAGGCATGGCCTAGCCCGCGCGGCCGTAGTGCCATTAAGGCGAGGCGACGACTCGAGCGCAACGGGAGCACCCCACGTGCACACAGGCAACGCGCGGCAGCGGCGCAACGAGCAGTGATGAGGCGGCCCGTAGCACGGCACGAGGAGCGACAACGGGGCAGAGCGGCCGCAGCGGTAGCAACACCGCAGCAGCGCAGCATGGCAGCGCACAGGGCGGGCGACAGCGCGTCATGGCCGTGTCGGCAACAGTGGCGGCCTCACACAGCAGCGCCCAAGGCAAATCCCACGGCATACGGCCAGCCCAGCGTGGCAACACGTGGACGCACGCGAGGCGCACCAATGCGACGATGACGACCACTGACGCGCGGTGACCGCGCCCATGCGAGGGAAACAAACCAAAAACATGTTGCGCATGGATTTTAATGCTTCTACCGCGACCAACCCGTTACTCCTAAACATAAACGGTCTTCACTACACTAAAGATGGGATATGAGGCTACTCAAGCAAGCTATAGCACTACATCACTCTTTAACCCAATTCCTCAGAATAGTTTGCTAAACATAGCAATATCTAACTGCCAACAACTTCGAATTTTTTTCTAAGTTTTGAGTTGAACTCTATTTCAAATTGCATTTCTAAGCTATTGAAAATCTTAGCTAGTTAATATCATTTTTCGACCGTAGGTATTTCATTGTCATCTATAAAGTTTGTAGTTCAAACTTTATTTAAGTATCACATACATGTTCTATAGCATTTTTGCTTAATAAAAATTGGTTTTAAACCCTAAGTGATACAACATGACTATTAAATTAACTTTCGTTTCGCACTTCCGTTGATCGTTTTAAGTTACGAAAATTGGTCTACACTCTTTATTACATGCATTAACACATAAACATGATACTCATGACATGTTTTAATAAATGATTTATGGTGTAACACCGAGGGTGTTACAGGTGGAGGCCCGGAGCTGCAGGTGAACAGGTGAAGCCGACATCGGCGGTGGCGGCGACAGCGGCGAAGATCGAAGGGAGCAGGCTGCGCACCACGGATCAAAGCAGGTTAAAAAAAAGGAAACAAGACGACATTAACGGTGGGTGGGTAGCGTGGGCGGGTATGCGGCGGATGGGTGAAAAAAATGCGAATGAGGCGTCGCCCGTCGTTCTAAAGGGCAGGAACATGTAACATCTTACGCCTATGCGTAAGACTTTAACGGATCCACCGTTATATTGATTGTGCACCGTTAGATCTAAAGACAATAAATCCTATGGTCGTAATATGAGGTGTGTAAAAAATTTAGGTGAAAAGCTATTCTCAATTCCTTCGCTTTTTTATAGTATAGATAAGAAGAACAGAAAGTTTACAACGTAACGCATGGTTTTAGTAAACCTAGTGTTACCGAGAAGTGCACAATCATTGCATGACTAGTCTCACGTGGATCAACCAGAGTTCACAATTAAAGCTTGGTTTGGATGTAGATATTAGAGACCCTGGAATTGAATTGGCACCAACACCAAATCAGACTTATATTGGAAATGGATACAAATATCAAAGTGGTTGTTTGGATGTAGATAGAATTGCTAGCTGAAATCAAATGCAGTGCCAAATACAAATTCATGTTTGAACATGCGTTGGAGGTCACCGTCGTTCCGGCGCTGCAGGAACAAATGCTGGAGGTCGCCGTCCTCCAGCGGTGGTCACCCTAACTTCCGGCTAGATTGGGATGGCGTCCATGATCGTGAGGAGGTCGTCGTCGGGGAGTGGGCAGAGGCGATGGAGGGCATGGAGCCGCCCCTTGCCTGAGCGGGAGAGGACGGACGCCTCTGGTGAGGGGGCGGAACGGGCTGGCACACGAGGGGCGAGAGGCCTCCGGCGAGGTGGGCGGGGATGGAGGTGCTGGAGCACGAGAAGGGTGGAGGTGCTCCGGCAAGGTTGGCAGAGAGAGCGCGCGAGGATGTCTCGAGGTCAGCGGGGGGGGGAGGTGCATGAAGGCCTGATGCGATTCTAGCTAATACAGAGGGTCTTTGCTCGGTATCGTCTTTGGGCTGCGCTAGGTGAAGTGAATGGCCGGAGGAAACGAGCCCAGATTCCATACTACAGTACCATGACCATCAAGCACGTGGAATTCAGGCCTACCATTTTCAATTCAAAATCCTAGGCCTCAATATAGACATCCAAACATGGTATAAATGATTACACACAAACAATTCACTGCTTGAGACTCCTCGCTGAGACCCCTCTTCTTGAGAAGCACCTTCCTTGTCTGAAGCTCCAGCTTGCCTAGCAGGCGACCTCACTTCGCGGCAAGCCTACCGCTACATCTAGGAATAAGTCTCCCCACCGAGACCCCACTTCTTGAGAAGCACCTTGTCTAACGCTCCGTCTTGCCTAGGTGTTGACCCGACTTCGCGGCAAGCCTAGCGCTACTTTTGGGGTAATAATAAGCTCTGAATCTTCAACACACACAGTTCTAAGGCGTGGGGTAACCCGTAGGCCACTGTTAGTAGGAGGTGACAAATAATTTGCCACTTTGTTAGACAGGTGAACCGTGAACGTGAGGACGAGGGAGGTTAGGCGGGACATGCTAGTAGTGGCAAGAAGTTAAATGCCCCGTCAATCGAATTGTTCATTGGGATTGCTACATTGATAAATTTCTTGTTCATTGGGATTGCTACGTCATAAATTTCTAATCTGTTCCAAATCCGTCTTCCGGCTGCACACGGATATATACAATAGAATATATCTCCTACCAGAACATTTTCTCCTAAGCACGTAGGAGAGAATCACAACCCAACGGCCTGCATTCAATTCCAACTAGCAGTGATACTTATCTATCACTTTCGGTGGTTTTAAAATTCGATAGTAAAAGGTTTTTTTCTTACCAACCGACAGTGATTATTCCATCACTCAGGACTGCCATCACTGTTGGTTTTAATAAATTGTTCGGTAGTGATAGTGATGGGCCAATAGGGATTATAAGGTTTCTGCATATTTGTATTAAGAAGAAAAGACATGCATACACAGAACACAAACACCAGCATATGAGGAGTAAACGTGAGCTGGACCAAACTGGGTGTGAAGAAAAAGAAAATTACTTTTCATAAAACAAAATTTATTAGGTTAGGGGGGCCGGGCTGTGGCAAACTGGCAATGTAGGTTCTGAAAAACGCTTGAGGCATGAAGGCATTGAATTTTCAGTGCTGTGCGCACGCGGGCATGCGGAGCAGACTGCACGACGGCACGTTCAGTGGGTGAGCAGCAGGGAGCAGAGCAAACAAGAGCACGGGCAAGGAGAATGGAAGGGCACACGCAGAGGCTGTGATCTCTGGAGGCAGAGGAACATGAGCAGATGCAGACAGCTTCACCAGACTGACAATACATGCAGATGCAGAGGATGAAGAGTTCTGAAAAACGCCTGTGGCGTGAAGGAATTCAATTCAGTCCGAGAATGCATGTGAATTGAGTGTGCTGCATCACGCTCTTGGCATGCCATTTCCATTGCCGGCTTGCGCAGCTCCTGCTCCAAAACCCACAGGCCACAACTACGGGACAGACAGGACACGACAGGAGCTGGCTGGTTGAAGTTTTAGTACGGCAGTACTCGACTAGAAACAAGAGCAGGCACAATGCATACATGTATATATAGTCTTCTACACATCTTTTTTTCTTTTGCAAAAAAAAGAGTGAACTTTATTGAGTTTTTGTTTTTAAAACGACAAAAAGTTTAGCCGATAATAAAAGTACAAGATCAATCAGCTCAACTCCGGCTTCAGAGATACTCCCTCACCCCATTATAAGACGTTTTGATATTTTTAGGTTTTTCATATGCACTTGGATAAAGGGGCTAACCTCGTGGAGGCCTCCCCTCCCCCCACCCCCGCCCCTCCGTTAAGTTCTGATGCCTAGTCTATGTTTGCATGCATGCTTGTAAGGACATCTGCATTACACCATGCAAAAACTATTTTTTACCAAGCGACATACTATCTTTTGCCTCTTCAAATTAACCTCCAGTTCTATTCTTATTATCTGCTACCTCTAGTTGCTTCTATTAATAGATGCTCTGTGTGAAGCTTTAATTAGTGATCACTTTACACCTGTGTTAGTACAACACTAAATTGCCCATCCCCCCCCCAGATTTTACCTCACCCTTCGCCACTGCTTAGATATACACTGTGTCAATGGCGAAGCTAGAACAAATTAAAGATAGTGTGTTTCTCTTATAGGTGTGAAAATATAAGCAGCAACCATGGTGAAACTTTGATTCTAGCGGTGCTTTTTCAAATTTTTATGGCTGCATCCGCACCACAAGCTACAACGTAGCACTATGTCTAGATAGTAAAAGCAATTTATGTAAAAAAAAACCAAGATGTCTTATAGCCAAGGTCGTACACGACCTAGATACACAGTGAAGGGAGGTCCCAATGTCAAGGTCGACCAGCAGTCGACAAAGCCAGTTCGATGCTTGTTCTTCCCTCGAAAAAACCTACGAACGCCTCCCGAAAAGACTCGTCAGGAAGATGCACAGAGATGGAGTCCTAAGATTGGCATGGACACCGAGAACATGGGCAAATCTCATCGAGAGAAGTACTGAACAACAAAGAATTGTTAAAGATAGAGGTTAGAAGTAAAAAGTTAAGGTATTCAATCGGCCATTGTGGGATTGTCCTTCGACCTCGTGATCCTCGATCATCTTGACCAGAGGAAGGTAATAGTAAAATTCATTCTTCAATATGAGGAAGTTGGTTTTGGAACCGGCTAAGTTAATTTTTGCTAGATAATTATCTCAAAGTTGCATTTTCTTTATTTGGATTTTAATTGGATGTTCTATATGTATGTTTTTATCATCTCGACGAGAGAAACGCAATGGTGGAGTCCGTTACACATTTTGACATAGTTCTAAAAACCGGTTTGACCAGTTTTTTTTTTTTAAATCTAAAATCAGCTGCTTCTAATCTTTACATGTGATCTTCTGTATCCATCTTATACTCTCCAATCACTTTTTTGGCTGTCAAAACAGATAACAATAGTGGGAATAGTCGGTGATCTTCTCTATCCATCTTATACTCTCCAATCATTTTTTTGGCTGTCAAAACAGATAACAATAGTGGGAATAGTCTTAGGCCAGGAACGAGAAGATATTATTGTACACTACGCATGCTAACAACAATGGATTAGCTGGGCCTCAGGAGAAGAGACAGGAGGAACCGGATGCCTCACACTCCAAAACGAGTAAAAAATCTTCCACACATCAGACTTTGACTCGCTTCTATCTCGCTTAACCCGAGAAGAGAGGAGTCTACGCGAGAGATGGGCGGCTACGAGAACGGCGACTCGACGGCGGCCGCGGCGCTTGCTGACGGCGGCGTGATCCTGGGCGTGGACGGCGGCACCACCAACACCGTTTGCGTCTGCCTGCCGGCTGCAATGTCGCCGCCGGAGTCCCCGGCCGCCGTCCCCGTGCTTGCCCGCGCCGTCGCCGGCTGCTCAAACCGCAATTCCGTCGGAGGTAATCGCCAGAGATCTTCCCATTTAGAGGATGCCTGATGCGCGACTCGTGTTAAAAATTCGATCTTGGTGATTGACGAGTGGTCTCCCTGTCGAATTTTTGGGGGATTTTGTGTCCTTGAAAGGTCTTGCCTAATCGCCGTTGATTTTGTCATACATAGTTGCGGGTGCTGTAAGGATTTTAGGAAATACTGGATCTTCGCAATTGGTGGAGAGTTTCAGGGGAATAGATGAATTGTTTGCATAATAGTGCTCGTGTATGTTCATTTTTCCTTTTTTTTCTTAAAAAAAACTTAGCTTTTGTTCTATAGAATTTTAAAAGGCTATGCCATTTTGTTGTCCATCCTGCTTATTTTCCGATTCTTTGGGATCCTAGTTGTCAAGCATTTAGGCCCTATTTAGTTCCACTTCGTTTTGCCAAATTTTTCAAGATTCCCCGTCACATCGAATCTTTAGACGCATGCATGAAGCATTAAATATAAATAAAAAATAAAACTAATTACACAGTTTAGACGAAATCCACGAGACGAATCTTTTAAGCCTAATTAGACTATGATTGGACACTAATTGCCAAATAACAACGAAAATGCTACAGTGCTCATTTTGCAAAAAAAATTGCATCTAAACTGGGCCTTAATGAAGTTGCTGAACAGATAGTACCATTTCTTGTGCTAAGCAGGGTGTTTTATAAAGTAGTCTGGTAACTTCCACTGATGGGGAAAAACAGCACAACATTTACCCCTGTGTTGATACTTGATACCACTGTGGTTTGCACTTCCTTTGCGATTGTAAAGGAATACTGTGCCCAATGTGCGACTAGAGTCCATAGTTCTGTACACAAACCATGTATGTTTCTGTAAGCTGTAACACAGTATACAATTGGAACATGGGAATGTTTTCTGAGTGATATCTATCTCTTTTTTCCACCTTGCCATGTTTTAATGTGGGAACAATAGCATCTGGCAGAATTCTGAAACATGGTATACAGTTGGAACATGGGAATGTTTTCTGAGTGATATCTATCTCATTTTTCCACCTTTCCATGTTCTAATGTGGGAACAATAGAATCTGGCAGAATTCTGTAACATAGTATACAATTGGAACATGGGAATGTTTTCTGGGTGATATTTATCTCTTTTTCCCCCTTTACATGTTCAGTCAAAGAAATACTGACCACTTTGTCCTCTATTCATCAGAAAGCACCGCCTTGGAAACTCTCGAGCAGGTCATGACACAGGCTCTAGCATTGGCCAACACAGATCGTTCAGCTGTCCAAGCAGTTTGTTTAGCCGTATCAGGAGTCAACCATCCTTCAGATCAGCTGAGGATGCTGGAATGGATCCGGTATAGTTTTCTCTGTATGTTAGTTAAAATGTATTTGAGTATTGCACCTAAAGGAAAGTGTTGCATTGTTGTGGTCCACAGCAACCACTTCATTTCACTTGAATAAATGCTGATATCAAGATGCTCAATTGCTTGAGCCTATTCATTTGGACACCCCTGATGCTTTGGATTGTCAGAATGGTGCTGTTTTTTTATATATGTCATTACAAATCAGAACAGGCTGACAGCCAGAAATGCAAAACTGATAGTAAGTCATCATTTTCTTGTATATCTTCTAAGTGAACCTTGTTTGTTCTCCAGGGATCTGTTCCCAGACAATGCCAAGTTTTATGTAGAAAATGACGCAGTGGCGGCTCTGGCTAGTGGTACAATGGGAAAGCTCCATGGCTGTGTGCTGATTGCAGGCACTGGATGCATTGCTTATGGGGTTACAGAAGATGGAAAAGTAGCGAGAGCAGCTGGTGCCGGGCCTGTTTTGGGCGACTGGGGTAGGTGAGTTATATTATCTATGGTTATGGCTACAGGACCCTATGACCCTTGAACCTGGATACTTTATGGTGCCTTGTTTGAACTTTGAAGTTGGATTGTTGGAACGTCGTTCCTTGTTTATTATTTTGTTGTTGGAACAGATATATAAGTGCTTTCAGTTGCCACGTTCTCTTTTTCAAAAGTTTATGCCTGATTTGCAACATGAGAAACAGAAGTTTAGGGGGTGCTCAACTGACAAGCATCATTGTCTGTCGCACACCCAGTAGAAATATATATGGGTGTTTTCAGATCTTGTTTGGATATCAGGATATATGCATATATCATGCAAAGACAACAAAGCCCTTTATACCCGAACATATCGCAGAAAGGCTATTTTTGCCGAACTATGAATTGGGGAATTGGGAAGATGACCACTTACTGCTTTTGGTTAAGGAGATCTGACTGGGGGGTGCCAAACTGTGAATTGGGAATCAAAAGTGAGTGATGCTGTCATACCCTAAATGAAACTAGGGGGATAGCGACCATGAATGAATGGTTGGCCGAATTGTCCATTTCTCCTTCAGTCCATTTGACTCAGCCTTGCAGCTCCTGCCTCTCACCCAAATTGATGGGTCTTCTAGCATCTTGAAATCCTTCACCATTGACTGTTGGTTAAAAAGATTTGTTCGGTGCTTATAAAACCTATTATTCTGTGATTCAAATACAACTTGCCTGTGACAAAGGAAAACGTAGGTGACTATATGTGTACATTAATGCAGTGGATATGGCATTGCTGCACAGGCCCTGACAGCAGTTATAAAAGCATATGATGGTCGTGGGCCACAAACTAGTCTTACAAGAGACATCCTTGAGAAGCTTGAACTTTCTTCACCAGATGAAATCATAGGGTAAGTTCTCTCACACTGATGCATCATCTGTATACAGTTCAGTTGTCTTCCCTGGGAACTCGAATGGTAGCTTAATATGCAAAAGAAGACAGTAGGGTTTCCCTTACTGTTTTGGCAGAAAAAAAAATATGCAAAAAAGGGCACACTAATTTTATTGCATAACATATATTATTTGTGTCAAAAGTATGTGCAGTACCTTCTGTGACCATGACGATATTGTTCATCAATGTAAATATAAACCTGACCAGGCTTGCATTGTTCTAACAGGATTTTTCCATTAGGCATTAATCCTTATCATTATTTGGCTATACTCCTTTAATTTCTTCTCATTTCAAGATTCATCCTGTTGGTGCACTATACTCATTCCATTTAGTAGTCCATATTTTTAAGCTCCTAGAATGATTAACAGTTTAATATTTCATAGCTAATTAATATTTGCTAAAGCTTCTAGCATTTGTGAATATTTTTCCGTGCTCTAGCTGATAAAAACATTGATATTTGGAATCTTGTACTTAATTGCCACTCTTGTTCTGGCACAGGTGGACATATGCAGATCCATCTTGGGCTCGTATTGCAGCACTTGTACCAGTTGTGGTATCTTCTGCTGAAGATGGTGATGAAGTAGCTAACAGAATTTTGCATGATTCAGTCCAAGAGTTGGCTGATACTGTTATAGCGGTTGTTCGACGTCTTAGATTGTGTGGTGAAGGTAATGCCTATGTTGTTCGTGCAACAGTACTTGGCTTTAATTTTGTCCAACAGGTCTATTTGATTATTTGAATGGATTAGTGGCATCTTAGGTATAAATATTACTTCTCTGGGGTCAGGACATCAAGTCAAGTCATCCGTACATAGGGATGTCATTGTATATCTTATTAATCAAGCAAAGAATGAAAACTGGTTTTTTCCCTGCAAAAGGTTCTTTTGGCCCATTCTGTCTGCCTTCTGCATGTCAGTTGTCATGTCATAGATGAGCATTTAGCAACTGGTTTACTGTGATAAATGAGTTGCGGGCTAAAGACACTCTTGTAGGGTTCTTGTGGTTCAAAGTAAGACGTACTCTACTTCTTCGGAGTGGAGTACTAAGAATTCCGACATGGAATTCTTTCTTTGGACCCAAATATTATTCTGCTCAGATTCTGTTTCCATTTCCAAATGCTGTGTCAATGTTAGGAACTGACAACAGGAAATGCTCTGTATACCTGAAAGTTCGTCTTTAATCTGGCAGATGGAAAGGACATATTTCCACTTGTTTTGGTTGGAGGGGTCCTTGAAGGAAATAAAAAGTGGGATATCAGTGGTGAGGTTATAAAATGTATTTCCAAGGTCTTCCCGGGCACTGATCCTATTTGGCCTGAGGTTAGTATACACATTACTATTCTTGTTCTAAACTTTATGTCTCTGTTGCACACATCCATGCTGGTTTCTGGGTTCAAAAGATTTGGGATGGTCTCACTTTTTATATCAGAAGACATGTTTTTTTCTCTGAGTTATTTGATATGATAAAATGGCATATGTCAGTAACATAGTTTCGGATTAAATGTGCATACATTTCTCTCGCCAAGAAAGCAGTGATATATCCATTTGAAAACATGGGGAAAAAATTAGTCCCAAGAAAATTGGTATAGGCATTAGTCATTTTTTTTAAAAAAAAAACATGGATGAACTATCATCCATTAGGAAGCTAACCTAAATGTCATGAAATTTCAGGTGGAACCAGCAATCGGTGCTGCCTTGCTAGCCAGGAGCCATCATCACAAAGGATTGAAATTAGAGAATGGAAGTTGATTCCCAGCATTTAAGGGTTTCAACTGTATATTTAGGAGTTGGCCAACCAAAGGAGAAATTTGGTCCCAAGGATACATTCAAAGGCATGAAGGCTTTTGATTCCCAGCAAGTAATAAATCACGGATGGATGCAAACATAAGGTGTTTATAAAACATATTTCTGATGTAATTAGTTAGTGTGTCGAAAGAATTGTTCAATAGACCTCTGATTCTAACTCTCGGTGATTGTTGTATGTGTGCTGTTTGCGTTTGGGGGTAACATGTATGTGTGTACCATGGATAATAAATCTTCAAATGTGCAATTTTTTTAACTATACATTGTACTTGGCCTGATGGCGATGGCCTCTATAAACGTGTGCAGCTGAATGTCCAGTCCAGCATTTCTTTGCTGTTGGGGACACGTAGAGCTCCCTTCGTAACAAGGGAGTCAGGCAGGCTCCTCGTGATCCACTTGGCTCAAGCAAAAACAAGTCGGCCGCTACAAGTAAAAGGTTTCATTTGTTTGCTATATGAATGATTATATTGAAGGGACGAGCTTGCACAAATTTGATTCAAATCAAATCACATGAATCCTGGTAACTGAGGTTGTCCGTTCATCCAATCAGGATAGTAAATATTATGAATCGTCTGCATTATGACCTACTAGCATTTCAATACAAATATTACTTTGGTGGCAAGTTTGACAACTGCCGAGGCTGAAAGTCTGAATTCAGTAAATAGCAAGGATCAAAGGATAGCAACTCCAAATCAAATCATCACAGCTGGCCAGACTAATGTTTGGATTCATCTGCCATTGTGCCAGGAAAAAAAAAAGATCATCTGAAAACTCAGCCTCTCTGACATCCTCTTTGCTACCAATGTCGCTCAACACAGTAGGTCACTGCTACAAGAGTTCACCTTTGCAACCCAGCATAGCAGGTTGCAAAGCCCATGGCATCAAAATCCAAACACAAGAACTAATTGCTACGGTTGGGCCATTTACAAAGTGCTCAAAAGCTACCAAGACTACTACTGCCTGCAAAAGGGAGCAATCCACTCTGCATTACCTAGTCCTTGAGTCGGAACCAAAAGCTCGCTGCCACCTATAATTCTAACAAAGTTATCTCAAATCACTGGAAGCCTGCTGTCAAGCCTACAATTCTACAATGTCAAGCCGACCAGAAGCATTTTACTTTGCCATGCTAATATGTTTCTTAATCATGTGCAAGGTCTCCATAACCTGCAAGAAAGAGATCAGTACAGTTAATAAAGAAAAAAAGATCATAACTCGTAAGGATACATGAAACAATGCAAATTGGGTGAGTGGTTATGGCATATAGTAGCAATTGGCATACCATGGAACCCCTGGTTAGACAAGACATGCGAATACCTAATATCTCATGTCACGGAACAAATTAATATTGGAGGAAAAACATAACATCAATTGTGTTAAAATTTGTGTTAGGTCACTTCACAAATTTCTTTCACTGAAAGATCTAGAGAAAACAGGATAGACGTAGAATAATGAGGATAAGATTATTTTAAATATAAATAACAAGCAGGAAGTTTTGCTAGACATCAAAGGGCAGTTTATGGCCAAGACTTTTTAGATAGGACACATATATGAGAAGAGAAACAACAGAAAACAAAAGAATCATGCCCAAAGCGTCAAAACAAAACTTACGCCAGTGTAGTGTTGAAGGACTGGAGAATAGTGATCAAGTGCAGTATAGATTTTTGCAAGAAGATCTGTTAAGGCTTCAACTTCATCACCAAGCAAATCCACCTGGGAAACAAATAAAACTAATTAATGTGCTTTAATACCTCAATCATCAATCCTTTTAGGGTGATATCTAGGTTATAACTTTTTCCATGGTTTGCAAGTTAAGCTCTGAAAAGTGAAGCTAAACACAAACTAGTTAGGTTTGACAAAGAAATTACCTCAAGTTCAGCTTTCTGAAGATTAGAGCCTCTTGTCTCAGATATCTCTTTGTATCGCAATGCCTTCTTTCTTAAAAGATTGCCTTCTTTTGCAAGGTGTTTACATTGTTCTTTTAAGAAACAGAACCTGTGAAAGAAAAAACACACTACCCTCTTTGTTTACAGAACATTACATAGATAGGTAGTAGGTAATAAGAACTATAGAGCTAATATTAAAATGGTATAGTGATAAACAAAAGGCTAGAATTATGTAATCAGCTCATTTGCCTAGAATAAATAAGTTTAGAGTGAATAAAAAAACAAGCACCTTGATTCATTGTGCTGGACTTTATTTGCAACAACAGCTTGTTGATCCATCATGACAATTTCAAAATCTCTGATAGATTTAACAACATTTTCCATGAATTTTCTCATATCCTTGTCTTTGGAAACAGCAGATGTTAGCATCTTCTCCTTTTCTTCAATGACATTATGTAGAGCTTGATTCTGTTTCTCTAAGTCTTTTAGACAGTCTGAAATGGTTCTAAGTCTATCGTTCAGCTCAACCAAAGTAACATCATTGTGTTGAACATTCTGCTGAGCTTGCTCCAACCTGCCAATAATGACACCAAACTCCCTGTTCTTTTCAGATAGGTAGGAATCTTGCTTTGCCACTTTGTCTCTTAGTAAATCAAGTTCACGACACATTGACTCCACGCGAGTCTGAATCGCTTCCAATCCAATCTGTGATACAAATTTCTCCTGTTCACTCACTACTTCAGTGAAGGAATCCACAATTAGTTTCAGTTTTTCAATCTTTTGCTTATTATGTAGAGATTCCTCTTCAGCATGACTCTTTTTCTCCTCATACTTTGACATTGCTTTAGCAATAGCCTCTTTCTGAATTATTGAGCAAACTTCCTGCTTCATATCGCCCTCAATCTCAGAACCATGCAATTCTATGTTTATTTCACTAATTAACTCTTTTATGATAATCCTTTCTATATCTTCTTTAAAGGTGGCTGCAATTCTGGCATCTTCAATGTCAGATTCAAGCCTTACAATATTCAGTTCATGATCTGCTTCTCTGGATACAAAATGCGAAGAGTGAGTTGGAACAGAGCAATGGTCCTCTTCATTATTACTTGCACCACTTTCTAGTTGCTGGATTTCAGAATCTAATACATTGTTCCTATCTTGTTGACCAGGAATTGCATTTGACTTGATACGAACAGGGGTTCTTTTATTCTCCAAGAGGAGCACATCCAACTTTGAGATGATTTCCTCTATTTTCTTCCTGGTTTGCTCAAGTTCTTTGTTATTTCGTAAATGAAAAGGGTTTGATCCATCCTTCTTTAGGATTTCACGCTTCAGTTTGAATATCTCTTCCGTCCTCTGGTACAGAACTGAATCATGCTGCCTTTTCATCTCATTCATCGATTTATTGAAATGAGCTATCAAAGCAACCTTATCCATGTGATCCAGAAGTTTTGGATCTCCAAAAACTTCTTCATTAGAGTCTCCAGGATGAATGGTCTTTGCTACACCATTTCTAGAGGATTTTTCCTTGTCCTGCTGCTTGCTCACATTTTCTGAATCTTCAAAGTTATGCTGTGCTCCCGAAAGCCCCCATTCAGAATTCAAGAGTGACTTGGAAATGGAGTCAAGCTGCTGGCGGAGACTATAAAATTCATCATGTCTTTTGTCCCGTTCCTCATATATACTCAAGCTGCCATTTCCTAGTTGCTGCAGCTTTTGGTTCAGTGATGCTATTTCTGCATCCTTGAGAACAATTTGACTAGCAGCTTCTTGTCGCACATCACTTAGGGTTTCCTTGATGATAGCACCAATCACAACTCCGAAAACATGAAACTTGTCATTTACTTCATCCACTTCATCCAAGAAAGATTCCATATCTTCAATGGCGGCGTCTTCATGGCAAGAAGGCTCAGTCTGAACTGCAGCACTCCCATTGGCATCATCCGGAGATACATCCAACGTCTCTACCATCTCCATCTGTATGTGAGTTTGAAGCGATCGCTACTGTAACAAAAAAAAAAATGGAAAGACACCAAAAGAAATGTTAAACTCAGGGATTATAATCAAACCAGCACGCTATTTCCCTCAGGAAATCCATCTGAACATTTATTGCCCAGCTGCAACCGCACATGTACCATTAAATAAACCACGTCAAACATAACGTGCAATCACATCACCCCAAGCTTGTGACAGCATAATGGTCTCTGAGCAAAACCCTACCTCAACAAGAAGACTGAAATCTTACAAATTAAATTACCGGTATAAACTACCTTGAATGCTCGGATAATAATAAGTTAATGACGTGGAATTCAAAGAGACAGAACATCCATCCCAGTAATGGTAACACGATTGGGGAATGGGGATAGTGACATGGACGGAAATAGTCCAAAAAAAAACGAGAGCAGAAACAAATCAAGCTCTAGCTAAACTAGCCGAATCAGGTAAACAAAACAAAACAGGCAACAAACAGTAAATCGAAGTCCAACCAAGCTACCAATAGTTATTAAGGAGCTCAAATGGGGTGAAGCTAACCTAAGCTCAAACCAAGAGGGGAGGGGCGAGGCGAAACAAGCCGGGAGAACCAATCACCACCAACGCGCCACCTAGGAGGACGGGGAGCTCCACCAGTGAATCCGTAGAGGAAAGAAACGGCGGCGATGCAAGGAATCCCGCCCCGAAATACAACGGTGGAAAGGGGGGGAAAGAAAGAAGCTGTGTTGATGAATGATGCTCTACCTTTTCTTGCCTGCCGTCGTCAGCGCTGCCAGTGCGGGTGGTGGTGCGGTGGCGCGGAGACAGGGAAAGCAGCCGCCTTTCTCCTCACACAGTCCTACTACTCCCCAGTCCCCACCTTTTTTCACCGCCGCCGCCGTTGCGTGCTATCTCTTGAGGTTGACTGCGACTGCTGCTCAAGTGCCGCCGTTGCGTGCTCGGGGCTTTTTGAATTAGATCATTATCAAAATCGGGCTTCGGTGATTTGCTATTTTTAACGGGACTCCACCAGATTGCCATTACAAAATACGAGCCATTCATCAGAATGCCATCTGAGAGCTTTGGAACCATTTTCTTCCTCTTCTGCTCCTGTCCGTTTCCTCTTTCAGTCTCCGGTGCTCGCACAGACGGAACGGAGGGACGTAGAAACGGATCGACTGCTGCTGCTTCGCCGAGCACCGAGCGAGGCACCCCCACGGCGAGCACCCTCCCCATCCACGGCGAGCCCCCCCCCCCCCCCCCCCACCACAGTGAGCACCCACCCCCACCCACGACGAGCTGCCCCCCATGGCGAGCCCACCCAGCGCCCCCACGCCCCCAGCGCCCAGCGCCCCCACCCACGGCGAGCGGCCCCCCATGGCGAGCCCACCAACGGTGATTTGCTAGGGTAACAAAGAGCAATCAAAATCCCCATGAACTGTAGATGGAGTGACCTCATTCGGTATGATTCCTCTTTCTTGCAGTGTTTGTATTCCTGTAACTCAGTTTGGGAAGCCAATACAGTGACCTTGCCAAATTTTTTCCCAATTTCTCCAGGCTCGATGCGGAGCCTGAGGTTAGTGTAGATGCAGTGGAATAAATTGGAGATGTTGGTAGCAATGATAAGCCTGTAGAACATGAAACATGTGATGTCCTTGGCAGTTCACAGCCTGTAGAATGTTATGGAGGTGTTGATTGGGACAGACTCACGATTCTTGTCTGATTGATTGATGAAGAGGGTGAGGTGTGCTAGATATAATTGATGAGGATCGGTTGTTCTCTTTTTAGGTTTGAGAACTGATGATGATTAGCATGATAGGCCTAGTGAGATCGAGGCTCAGTCACCGCTTGAGGGACAAACCAACCGAAATAGAATTGCTGACATTGACATTGACACAACTGGTGCTGCAATTCCTGTTGATAATCATGTACCAGGGGAAAGACCCTATGCTTATGATCCTAACAAGCCTTGTATGGATATTGGCACCGTGTATCAAACATGAAGGAGTTTAGACTGGCTATGAAGCAATTTGCAATAAATGAGGAGTTTGAACTGCACTTAGTCAAAACAGATAAGAAGAGATACATTGCTGATTGCAATGCAGATGATTGCCCTTGGCATATTAATGGGCGAACATAACCTGATGGGATAACCGTCAAGGTGTATAACTTTTGCTTACTTTATGTCACCATTTTTTTGTTGTAAATATCTAATATTTTGGCTATTAGCTTGTTGCAGGTTACAACTTTGATTGGTCTCCATACATGTACTTCTAGCGCAAGGAGGAGGACCACCACTCCATTAAGTGCCTGGGTGGCATCAAAGGCCATTCATCACCTCAGGAAGGATTCCACCATAGCACCAAAAACATGCAGAAACTGCTACAACATGAGCACAAGTGTCAGATTCACTATGACACCGTATGGAAGGGAAGACAAATTGCCTTGGAGGAGTTGTTTGGCAGCTGGCAATAGAACTTCGAAATGTTGTTCAATTGGAGGGCAGAGGTACTACAGCGATAAGGATGGCAACGGGTCGGGTTCGGATCGGGTGGAGTCTCTGTGCACCCAAAACCGAAACCCGAAATCGAAACCCGAATCCGCCCCGAAAACCGATTTGGGTGGAAATCCATCACCAAAACCAAACCCGCAGATACCCGAAACCCGAACGGATACCCGAAACCCTAATGGATACCCGAAACCCGCGTATATATATACACATATTCACATATATAAACAAGAGGCAACAAATAATAAATATTTTTATGAGTCAACTTTAAATAAATTTAATAATCTAAGTAAACAAATTATTATTAGTATATTATAAAACATGAGTTTTAATTCCACATGATTTATTTCGGATATCCATTGGATATCCACGGGTGGAAAACCAAACCCGATTGGTTTCGGGCCCCGAACCCGAAAACCATGGGTGAAAAACCATCCCCAAACCCGAACCCGCAGAACCCGAAACCCGTGGATATCCGCCCCAAACCCGATCCGTTGCCATCCTTATACAGCGATCACCTGGAAGTGTCATTGAAATTGACATAAAGCAGGTAGATGGGAAATTCTACTTCCACATATTTTTTGTGTATTAAGTTCTTACATTGAGGGTTTTTTGGAGGGTTGTAGGCCTTATGTTAGCGTAGACTCAATAGCACTTAATGGTAGATGGAATGGGCATATGGCTGCTGCTACTGCTATAGATGGTCACAATTGGATGTATCCACTTGCTTTTGGGTTCATAGATGGTGAGACAATAGATAACTGGACATGGTTTATGAGTCAGCTACATAAGGCCATAGGACACCTACCAGTACTTGCTATTTGCACTGATGCATGCAAAGGGTTAGAAAAATCAGTAAAAGATGTGTTCCCTCAAGTTGAACATAGAGAATGTTTTAGCATCTAATGCAGGATTTTATTAAAAGATTTGGGGGAGATATTTTTTCAAAGATGTATCCTACAACAAGAACATATAGGCCTCAAGTATTCAGATATTTTTTGAACCAAATTGTGACAGCTAGCCCTGATGTATTGGAATGGCTTCAAAACCATGACAAATTATTATGGATGAGAAGTGCCTTCAACCCTAAAATCAAGTGTGACTATATTACCAACAACCTTGCAGAGAGTTTCAATAATTGGATCAAAGATTGGAAATACCTACCTGTAGCTGAGCTTGCTGACAAGATTAGAGAGATGATAATGACACTATGGAACAAGAGATGTGCAATTTTAGAGAAGCTTCATGGTAGGATCCTACCTGTAGTACTATAACAATTGAAAGCAAGGACTAGGGGTTTAGGAAACCTAACAGTTGTGAAGGCAGGTGCTTTTGCTGCAGAGATACATGACACAACCAGCACACATAACAGGCATGTTGTCAAGTCACATTTGCATGAATGTACCTGTGTTCAGTGGCAGCACACTAGAAAACCTTGTCAGCATGCCTTGGTCCTCATAACAGCACAACAAAGTTCTGAAGTTAAGATGGAAGACTTTGTTCATGATTATTACTCGGTGGAAAGGTTTAAGAATGCTTATAAGAGACTGATAGAGCCACTTCCAGATAAGACCTAGTGGCCTAAAGTTGTGCTTGACTTTGATAGGCAACTAATATTTTTTTCTCCCTGCATGAAAAGAAAGCTTAGGAAAAATACTACTAAATATGGGCCAAATGCTAAAGTCCCAACAAAAAGGGCAAAGAAGCAAGACAAGGAGCCTGAAAACCCTATTGTGCAACCTGAGAATGCAACTGTGGAAGCTAAGAATGCAACTGTGCAAGCCTTGAATGAAACTGTTATAGTCCCATTTGTTGCAGAAGATTCAATTGTAGTAATCAGCCCCACCAAACCGAATAATGAAGCAATCTTGCAAGACATCCCAATTAGGCTGACAAGAAGGTAAACACAGCCATCTATACTTCCTGAAACTTGATTGTACAATTACTTATTTTTCTTCCTTTTTTCAGCCGCTTGGCATTGTTGATGGGAGAAGGCACAGATGGCCAACCTACTGAGACTGATGGGTCTCCCAGCACTACTCAAGGAACACCAAGAAAGAAGAGAACGACACCGAAGAAGTTGGTCCCAAGGAAAAAAACTGAGAAGCTGTCATTTTCGTAACCTGTGTGTTTCTGAAACTGTGTCCTGTATGAAATTTGAAGAACATGTGTCCTATATGAGTTGTATGTGTTACTGAAACTTGTGTGTCCTGTATGAGTTGTATGTGTTACTGAAACTTGAAGAACCTGTGTCCTGTATGAAACTACTATTGCACTGGAATATATGAAAAATATGTGCTTTATGTTGGTGGAAAATCTGAAACTTGATGAATGACAGAGAAATGACAGAAAAACTGAGAAACTTGATTGTATGCAGCTTAGTTGTATTCTGGGCTTTATTCTGAAACTTGATGAAAAATCTGAAACTTGATGAATGACAGAAAAATGATAGAAAAATCAGGGCTTTAGCTGTTTGTGGTTTCCTAGACCTGGTTGCAACTGGTGCAGATTGGTTGCACTT